ACCTTTAACAAAACAAGTTTAATTTAAACTTCTAATAATTTACTTTGAATCGCGAGGCGCCTTGCAGATAAAATTACTACTTATGTTAGTTAGCCCATACTATGTCTAATCAAATTCAAAGCTTTATTAACTTTTATGTGTGCTTAAATGTGCTTAACATTTGAGTCGATATTTCTTTAATAACCAGCTCGGAAAGAGTTCTTTCGAAAACCGCCATGGTCGTGAGCTACATTTGTATGAATGAAACATTTATTATCTTTGTATTTCGAATAAAAGCACAGTACTTAAAATTTCTTCTTTTGACGTAGTAGGGTTTCAATGCCGGGTGAAACAGACAATACAATTCTGGTGGTTTGAAAAGTTTCGCCTGCTTTATTGCTACTCCGGTCTAACATGCATACCATTGGTGTGGTGAATACGTGCTCATAATATTGGGTCCATACAAATGAAATTAGCGTTTTGTCATACTGGCCACTTTGACCTCAAATATCTCCTCTTTGGTTAGGAATTCCAAAATCAATTTTATACAGCTTACTGGTGCATTTGTTTTTCGAGAACCATGATTCATTTCATTTTACAGTTTTAATATTTTTTCTTTGCGTCACTCTATTTATAAAATGGAAAACAAGAAATTTCGCGTTATTTACGAGTTCGAGTTCCACCGTGGCACCAGTGCTGCAGAAACGTCTCGAAGGATTAATTAAGTGTATGGCGACGGTATCGCAAAAGAAGACACAGTGCGTTTTTGGTTCCTACGTTTTCAATTCAATTCAGATCTGGAAATTTCAGAACAAGCCGGAGACCAATCTTGATAACGAAAGATCGAAGGCTATTGTGGAAGCGGAACCATCGCAAACTACGTCTGAGTTAGCTGCAGGCTGCTGTGTTAGTGATAAAACTGTATTATATTAAGCAAATTGGGAAGGTGAAAAAGCTTGAAAGGTAAAGGTAAAACCGGCAAATTTTCAATATGGACCATCGATTTGAATATGGGCATTCAACTTCATTTTCACCTTCCCAATTTGCTTAATATAAAACAGATTTATCACTAACACAGCAGCCTGCAGCTAACTCAGACGTAGTTTGCGATGGATCCACTCAAATTTTAACCGTAAAACCTCACAAAAAGAGAAGCAATTAAATTAAATTTAAATCGAGTACCTGTGATGAAAATTGGATCCTGTATGATAATTGGAAGCGCTCATCGCAATGGCTGGACCTAGCCGAGCCAGCCAAATCGTGCCCCAAGTAAAAATTTACTCCGAAAAGTTACTTGTGAACGTTTGGTGGACCAGCCCGGGTTATTAACTATTACTTTCTTAAATCTGACCAGACGATTACGGCAGATGTCTATTGTCAGCAACTGCAAACCATGATGGAAAAGCTAGCTAGCAATTAAGGCTGGTCAATCGCTCTAGGCCAATACTGCTTCACGACAACGCTAGACCACACACTGCACAACGGACTGTTACCAAATTTGGGGAGCTTCAATTGAAATCCACCGTACTCCCCGGACCATGCTCTAACATGTTACCATTTTTTTCGAAATTTGGTTAACTTCTTGCAAGGTAAAAAATTCAACTCTGATGGAGCAGTCGAAACCACCTTCAAAGATTTTATTGATTCCCGTCCGATGGTGTTTCAGTAAAGGGATCAATGAACTTCCTATAAGATGGCAAAAGTGCATAGATAGCAATAGTCTATACTTTGATTAATTAAATATATTCTATTTAAAAAAATCTACATTTTGTTTCTCTCATACAAAACGCCAATTTCATATGTAAGGACTCTAATACATTTACAATTAATTACGTAAATTAATAGAGATATCCAGTATAAAAATTAATCTTAATATGGTATTCAAAGTTACTCGGAACCTACCTTTAAGTTAGATACACAAATATGTATACAATTTAAATATTACACTATTAGTAACTGCGTATTTCATTAATAGTCCAAAATAAGGAGAATATGGCTGCGGTAGCATTATCCTGAAGACCAATATTTATTTATATTGTATTAGTATTGTCTGGTATTAAAATAAAGTGAATATATCATAGTTCCTCTTGGATGTAATACGTTAATGAGTTATAATGCCTACTAATTAAATACATGATTTCAATTATCCCGAATATTAAACACAGTGATTACTGATTACATATTATATCTGAATCGCATGATACTAAATAATTGATCTAGAGCCAAGACACTGTACTTGTCCTTCATACGGCAATATAACTTCTACAGATATTTCACCGTGTAAGTCATTTAAGAGGATTGACCGTTAACAAAAGGTGAGGCAAATTAAAAACTTAATTAAAATCCGTGCGCCTCTTTTAACGTTTACGTTGATTATATATTTTACAATACACTTTTGTGTAATTTAAAATGTCACTAAATTAAAAAACAGTACAATAAATTCCGTTACATTATCGGAAACTCGTTAAAACCCTATAAAAAATGAGTACCTTTGAAATTGCCATCGGCAAAAAATTAGAACCATCAATGATCACGCTTAACTGAGCTTTATAAAAATAGTATTCGTATTAAAAACGAGTTGTGGTAACCCGTCCGGGACGTATTCTACTTGCTCATACCACCATTGGACTTGAAGTGGTGGAGAGGTGAACACACAATAGAATCAAACGCACGCAGAGGCATTCATTGCTACTGATAAATGAAAACACAAAAATAAGTCCATGCAAATTAAAACCAGGTTGAAAGTGGATGCGGCAATCGGAACATATCTATCGATACAAAGTTATATTGTCAGTATCTGAGTAACAAACGTTTGCTTATATATTTTAGTTTTATAAATTATAATTCTATCAAGTACAAAGTAGGAAACACTTGCCAAAAGTAGTAATAGAATTGTACAATTTTTTTACTGTAAATTTGTTAAAGAAGTTTCGTGAAAGTGTTATTACGTAGAAACGACACAAATGGTTAATCTAGTGTTGTTGTTTAAAACTTACTGAGGGTTCTGACTTCTAAACATCAGAATATTAAAGCGTATCCATTTCGTTATTGCTTCAGTTGTGTTTATAGACGGATTGTGTAAGCAATAGTTCAATGGCAGAATTGGTCCACTCCAGTACAATACCCATAGTATATCACAAGTGGTCTAACCGAGATAGCTCTCCAGCTGTTTTTTCGTATAAAAAGTTGAGTTCACCACAATAAACATTGCAATAGCCGGATATTTTTATGAATTAAAATTGTTTTTAAAGTATGCATTGAAGTATACAGTGTTTGAAGCTTCGTTGTTTTGTTTATCTTTAAAAAGAATTAACGATATAAAACAATCACTCATAGATATAGTATTTTTATGAATACTGACACTGGACATTTTTTGCGCCTTATTTATGTATAGGTATTATATTTAAGGCGCATCGTCGATTTTGAGTCATAAAAGCGGTTGTATTCTTTATGAAATACAAAGAAAAAGTAATCCAATTGAAGTAGCACGCCAAGTTGAAAATGCGCATACTTTAAACAGTTTCAAACACCCTTCACTTCACCAATTTATTAGAGAGTGATAATGTTAAAGTAAAAAATATGTTAATATTTTATTGTATCTTTCACCTTAGTAACCGTAAGATTTCATTATTTTATTTTATTTTTATTTTTACATTTAAGGTACAGAAACAGACATCAGATTGGTTAAATACATACAGTTATTACACACTTAACATTATTTGTAAACCTGAAGTCCATTTAGATCTGTACACAGCATTTTCGTGGAATCTTCAGTGCTGGTTTACCAAATACTAAGAATAACACACAGTATATAATATGCACATATAATGATTATTTACATTAAACTTAATGACAAAAAAAAATAGAAAATAGAAAAATTTACCTAATGCCAAAAAAAAAATTAAGTTATTCTGGTTGCAAGTCTGCACCGCGAATAATCTTTCTAAATTCATAACTACTAATGTGAAAAATATCAACATGAGAACACACAGAATTATAATACTTGCACATTCTAGCGAGCGGATCATTCTGGGATACATTGTTGTTACTTGTGGGTATCATAAATAGTTGTTTTATTTTATTTTTCTTTATTTTTATTCGTAACCAAAGCTCTGAATTTACTACCAGTTTCCGAATCAAGGGCGTAGAGCGGACGAGAACTGGCAAGACACTCTCCGCCACTCATTTGAATCGCCAACTTTTTGACACAACAACAACCACTTCACATTTAGAAACAAAATGTTGATGCTGTCACTTTTGCAAGAATCCTTGTACGAAATATTGTACGAATACAGTTAGGCTACCGCTGATAGCTAGTTACAGATAAAAATACCAATAGGTAGGTGTATGCAAAAAGTTTGTAGCACACAGATGCCTATATACGCTGGACAATTACTTAGATCAAAGACTAACTGAAACTCAGGCGATAGAAATCAAGGAACTTAAGTTCAAGCAGCAAGGACAAGTCAAACTTCATAGTTTAATTCAGTCTTCAAAGTTCCAAATAAATTCAAGAACAAGTTAAATAGACTAAACCCACAAGGCACCAAGGAGACCCTGGAGGTGATATTGAAATTACAAGGATTGTCTCAAAGCAAAATTGGATTGTCATTAAACTGGACGTTTTTTATCACAACCCCATTTTTTTAGTAAAGGAAATGTCTTTAGACAATCGGCAAAAAAAGAGTGGTGGTTAATTTCTACAAATATTTAAAAGAAATCGCTTGTCTATAATTTTATTGTTGTATGTATCCACAGCGTTCCAGTATCAACGATCGTCTAACGAACAGTGTCGAATTTTCCTTCGGCTAAAAAAAAAGGAAATTTGTGCCGTATCGCAATGGTAAAATATAATAGCTTTCTGTATAATAGGTAGGTAGGTTAGAATATTGGGCGGAGTCATAGGAGGGGACCTGATTGGCGGGATAAGAATGGGAGAGGAAAGATGAGGGCGCTCGCTCACACTACGTCATTGTGTTTTCGGCTAGCGCGACGTACGCGTTCCGTGTTATAACTTTTATATGAAAAAAATGTTAGAATTTTATACGAATATCAATTCGGGATTGATGCAGGACGGCATGCAGCCTCCGCTCTCGTGTGCCGGAAGAACAGGTTAGTGAAAGTGTTACTTTCTAAAGGACGTTGCGAATTTTGATGACTGAGTTTTTAATTTGTTTTTAGTAAATTTTTTTCATAATTATGTGATCGAATTTATAAACTATATGTTATCTATAATTATCAAGTAAGCGATTAATAGCAATTTATAAAAAAATCCAAAATAATATGTGTTGGTAGAAACAATTAAATTGACATTAATTAAATAGAAAAAAGTGCATAATAATATTCATTAATTCATTGTAATATCAATTCATTCTGCTACAGTAGTAACGTTAAAAAAAAATCCTTTGCAATTACTGTTTTTGTTAAATATAATTATATAATTTTTATACAGTGCAATCGGCTCATGTTCTCTACGACTTGATATAACCTCATCTCTATTAATTTAAACCGTGTACTAATAAAATATTGTCTTAATATTTTAAATTATATCACCAGAAGATCACTTCTGTTAAAATATTGTCCCGAAAATATCTTAATTATATAGATTTTCACAAAGTTTAAAAGACATTTGGAAGTATCACAAAATAAACAATATTGATAATATATGTAACAACAAAATCTTAAGTTACAAAATATTATCAAAAATGGGCGCTATAATAACGATGATTTAAACTAACATGCGATACTACCATTTCTTTAACAATAGTGAGTAAATAATATAATCTACAAACAATGCCTATACATAGAAATTTCACATTTTTCCTATTTAAAAAAGTTTTTCCAAAAAAATACAATTGACATAGAAAGCGACCGATAATGGCATGAAGCGTAAATTTTACCGGTTTTGTTGGAACTTTCAGAAAAACGGTGACAAAACCTCGCGGCATTTCTAGGAAAGCGAGGTTTTGAAACGCAATCAAAATGGACTTCCACTTTTTACCTTTGTCCTAAAGTTTTCATTTTCCATTTAAGGGAATAGGTATCATGTTTTGATAAGCAAATTTAGCTGTGAAAATACTCGAAAATGTCCAAACATTTTGGACGATTAAAAATATCCGAATTGCGAACGGGTTAGATTTTTACATGATAATTATAAAATTGCTTATTTATTTAATGTCAATTGAACGCTGCATGAAATATAAGTATTAAACGTTTAACGTGAATGATGTTCAACTAAACTAACATCATATTAAACTATTTCTTTGATATTGCACTTTAAATTATTGAACAATTATATAATTACCAGATTAATTTAAAAATAACTCGATAAATGTATATATATATATATATAAGTGTTTTGAATAATATGATAACAAATTCATATTGTAATTAAAAAAATGCTTGCAATTTACAGGCATCCGTAATTAACTACACATTAATATTTTTATTGAACTTGATTGGCAAATAACTGTTCATGAATAAACAGTGAAAGCTTCAATTTTGTTTATTTAAAAGTGTTGGAAAATATACAAGCTTTTACAGTTTTAATACGTAAATTTATTCGTTGATATTTACTGTATTTGTAATAAGTTATTTAGGGTTGAATTTTAGCTATAGACAATCTGGAGTGCTCAAATCAAAGTGCTCAGTCAATCTTAATTTTTACTCTTAGTCTTGCCATTTTCATCTTTGTTTACGTGTGTAATATTTAAATTTAAACTCGAGATTTTATCCGTTTAAAATGTGAGTTGTTTTTCGAGATGCATGCGTTTATTCGTTCAACTTTTTCATCTTCCTTTAGACCATAACGTTCTCCAAACACGCACCTCGAATCGTTTTACTGTTAGGGATGTTTTATATCGACGTTTTGTTCCCCGTTTGATCCGTGACCCGGGTGACTGAAGCCCCTCCCACAAGGGCGTGTCTCCACCTAAGGAATGACTCGAGGCATCGACCATGTCTTAAGAAAGCTTTGTGCTAACTCGATATTTCAAAATACTGTAAGCGAAATAGGCTTCCAGACATTGGGTTAGTGTAATATACTAGGTTTTGAGAAAAGGCGTGTTCCGTGTCATGTTTCGTCGCGTATAGTCAAGTATTAAATGAACTTAAAATGCGTACGTCGAATATTTTATGGGAAATTTTTTCACGTAACTCTAGAGGCGCTGTAAATCATAAAACAATTTTCGTAAATGTATTTAACGCAGATATTTTGTTTGCTAACGTTATATCTACTATAGTCCTATCATAAGTTTAACAATTATCAAACGCCTCTCAGTAAATACAAATGATGTTTAAAAATAATTTCTATGAAAGATTTCTTAGTTTGCACAATTATTTTAAAATATAAACTATTACCACAGACGTTTTGTTCTTTAGCGTTTAAGTTAACAGTGAGTTAAAGACAAAAAAGCAAAATTGTTTTGAGTCCCGTCGGAATGCCACTTAAATTTATTCTAGCTATTTCTCCACACTAATTGTTTTGATAATAAATTTTATGTACGCATCTTTTTAGATGTAATGATAAAATAATTAAAACTAAGAACTTTAAATAAAATCTCTATCTAAGCTGTAAAGCTAACTAAGCTCTTATCTAAAGCTAATTAAAACTATCACTTTATTTTATTTTAACCGCGAAGTAAAATAAAAATAGATTTACCTTAAATAGATCCTTAAAAATTAGGTATTTGTCCTTTACCGGACGTAAAATTGTTTACGAACGAAAGCTGTCAAAATAAATAATAGTAAAACTCTAAAATCCTTTTACTATTTAAAAATATATTGAATTTTAAAGTCTTTGTTTGGACGTGTATTCACGAGTGATGAAATACAATTTGGGATCGCGTAATCGCATTTTACTATTATACAGATTACTGTTTACTATTCCATTTATGTATGTACCTACCTATATATACGTATAAAAGAAAGTCGTGTTAGTTACCGATTTGGCCGAAAATTGGTATAGCTTAGACCCAGAAGACGGACAAAGAATACTTTTTATCCGGTTTTCGTGGGACGTAACATAAAACGTGGCATAGCAAAACGCAAAAAACAAATTATTAAAATTTATCAGTCTAGCCGTTCATTTGTTAAAAATTTTCACTTATAATACCACAAGAGCTTCAAAATTATCGGGTAAAGTCAACTAGACTCCTTCATTTGTTTGCAACGAACCTATCGGGAAATGCCAGATAATTTTGAAGCTTGTGTGGTATTCGGGGGATTATTTTTCCGTCCCAAATGTCGGCCAATAGAATTGCACCATGAGACGAAATGTACAGTTAACAAATAAGAATTTCATATTTATAATATCAATTTCAATTTTTATTGTACCTTCCTTATAGTCTTCTCCATCCATTTTCTTCATATTGTAAGCGTAATCTTTCATAATGTTTGCCAATTGCGCTTCACTCGTTTCAGCACTCAATGTGTATTCCCTCTCAGTACAAAAAGTAGTAAATTGGTTCCAAACTGTTTTTTTTGACTTCTCCGTATTAATGGGAACATTTCCTTTGACTTTTTTATCGATGGTGGACAGAGAACAAACTCCAAATCGACTCATTTTCATGCAAAATTTCCAATTTTCACAATTGAATTCAACCTGTCAGTTTGACGTGTGGTTAATTTGACTGGATCATGTTTTGTTTTTTATATATAGCAACTACCAGAGAAAATTTTCAAAAAATTATCAGTATAATACCATGTACGTTGTACCACGTGACGTCGAATGGTGCAATTCTATTGGTCGATATTTGGGTCCGAAAAATAATCAGTATAATACCATGTAGGTTGTACCACGTGACGTCGAATGGTGCAATTCTATTGGTCGATATTTGGGTCGGAAAAATAATCACTATAACAAAACGCAACTTACAGGTAAAATTAATGTTATCTATGATTAAGTATGATTAAAAATTTGACAATTAGAAGGTTAGGTTGATGTGTTTATTTCGAGTTTCCATTAGCTTATCTTGCCGATATTATCATTAACAATGCCACGACCAAGAAGATCGAATCTTTACCGACAAAGCCGTAATGCAATATTTGGATGAACCGATTTGATGATGATTTTTTTTGGGTGGATACGATAATAGTTCCGATTATTTACAATTAGATGCTTTTTGTCTGATTTTTTAATTTTGAAATTTTATATATAAGAGTGTGTACAGGACAAAGTCTGTCGGGTTCGCTAGTAATTACATAAATAGTCTTTCTTTGATAATTATTAGATATTTAATTGAAAACTTAAACAATTACCGACGGCGTTGCTTTAATGCTTTAATCACGATCACGAATTAATCCGAAATTCGTTCTAACGGAAAAAAATATAACGTTCTAAATATTTCATACATTTATCTTCAAGTAAACTTAGCTTATTTTTGTATTTAAATAGACAAATTATTATTTTACCCATTAAATCTATATATCAACGCTTATTCCTTAAACTCTTTTTAATAGATCTATGCACATTTATTTTATCTTTCTAAATTTAATGGCAAAAGCGAATTTCTTTTTATAATCATCATAATATTTTTCTTGCAAAAGATGTTGTGTGCCGACGGAATGTACATGCTACACACTCATTTTCGAATTTCTCAATTCTAACATAGAAAATGTTTAATCTTAGTTTGTGTTATGTTGATACCGATTGTAGCCTTGATCCATCTTAAACCTTATTTTTCTAAATTCCAAATTAGTATCATAATATCACTCTCTAATAAACTAGATACTGATTTCTTTTCAGAACTAAGCGCGAGCATCAAGAGGGAGAAGATAGTTGAAATATGCGAAGGCTGTGGCCAGAAAATCCAAGATCGTTATCTTATGAGAGTAGGAGAACTTTCATGGCACGAACATTGCCTCAGTTGCTGTGTCTGCGGCTGTCCGTTATCACACACCTGCTACACCAGAAATGCAAAACTCTACTGCAAACCCGATTACGATAGGTAAATATAATATTATCAATAATCATAGAACTTAAGCGACTTCTTGCGATGCTAGCGAAATGCAATGCGAAATTGCTTTGCGCTCGTTTTACATAATATAAATCCATGAATCCCATTTGTCCCAGATTATTCGGCGTCAAATGCACCAGATGCGGCGACAGGCTTCTTCCGCAAGAAATGGTCATGAGAGCTCAACAATATGTGTTTCATATACAATGCTTCGTGTGCGTTATGTGCTGTCAACCCCTGCAAAAAGGAGAACAATACGTTGTCAGAGCTGGCCAAATCTTTTGTAGACAAGACTTCGAAAAGGAAATGTATCTGATGCAACATGCCGAAGATGATATGATAATAGACGATTCAGAACGGCCTAGGGACGGACGGCGTGGACCAAAACGCCCAAGAACGATTTTAACCTCAGCTCAGCGCAGGCAATTTAAAGCCTCCTTCGAAGTGAGTCCTAAGCCTTGTCGAAAAGTACGTGAAGCTTTAGCCAAAGACACCGGCTTAAGCGTCCGAGTTGTACAAGTTTGGTTCCAAAATCAACGAGCAAAGATGAAAAAGATACAACGTAAAGCGAAGCAGGAAGGCGACAAAAATGCTGATAAAGACAAAGATAAGGACGAGAAGAGTATCAAACAAGAGTCGCCATCTAGTGATCACGGCAACTATCTCGGGCTTGACGCTGCTTACTCTGCATCCAGCCAACCTCTTAACCCCAACCTACCTTATTCTCCTGATGGTAAATATCCTTTTGACACACTTGTAATAAATACATATTAGCAATTAAATAATTAAATTTTACTTTCCAGATTATCCAGTCCATTCTGGAGATAGCTTCTGCAGTTCAGATATATCTCTAGATGGAAGTAATTTCGATCAACTCGATGAAGGTGCATCTGACACAATGAGCCTCCAGAATTTGGAGGTCAATCATCACGGTCACAATCATTCGAACCATGGCAATCATGAACCCCTTAATCTTGGTACGGGTGCCGTCGTAAATCCAATAGACAAGCTTTACCTGATGCAGAATTCCTACTTTAGTACAGAACATTGATTAAGCGAAACCCGCGCAAGCCGGAATAATACTGCTATGCGCTTGGGGTCCTTTAAGGGTGACCATACAGTTAAGTCCACGGCCACTGCCACCAGTCACACGATTACCGAAACGAATTCATTTAACTCCTTCTTTGATTTTAGTCCTTTTACTATGTCTTAAAAATTTAGTGTTTCTTATAAACGTGCTAGATTCGTTCAGGAATGTTTTGTTACGCTTATTATGATTGAGAATAATAATCAAACATGTTTGAAATTAGGAGAACGTTTACGAAAGTAAATGTCTTTAATTATATTAAGAATTGTGTGTATATATACCCTAATAATTTAGATCCTACTCAACCCTTTGTAGTTTGTTGACGACTCTTATTTTCTTAGTATATATACCTAAGAACCTACATCGTATGTATTCATGTATCATTATGGTAGATATGTAACTTTTAAAAATTCAATACGTATTCTAATAACATACAAATAGTTTAACTTATCCATAATAATATAATTAATAAAACTGTATGTTATATGTAATAATTTAAAAAGGTTTTTAGCCAACAATGTATGAATGTAGAAACTAAGAAAGCTCTCCGTGGACTTAACTTAAATTGTAAATATAAAACTTAGAACTTATAGATCCGTGTCTATTTTATAGTATCTTGTGAAGATCAAATTAATTAAGGAGTCATCTAGTCATGAAATCTGTAATATGTCGCGATAATAATTCAATCGTATGGAGAAATTTATTTTCCTTAAAACTAATTACATATAAATTTATTCATCCCATGAACTATAATATCAGGAAAATTATCATAGAATGCAATAAGTTTTAGTCTAAAAAATTTAGTGTTGCTCGCTTTATATGAATTAGAAATGTATCTTGTATAGTACCTTTTCTGTTTATAGAAAACTCTCTAGAAAATAGCTCACTTTTACAGATTACGTAGTCGAACCTACTGAACCTAATTTAAACTGACCTCATGAAACAAAAAGTATACAAAAAGTTCTATTAACACTAATATTTATAACAATAAAGCTTTAACGTTCACAAAATTATTGAACACGTGTATAGATATTGTTCACATCGCACTCGGGACCGATAAATGAGGATGAAAGGTTAATGACACACGGTTAAACAATGGTGCTAATCGTTTTTATGTGACAAATGATATGCTGAAATCAAGGCGATATTCGTTCTTGCACAAAAATCGACTTAGAGTCGCCTTTACAACCTTCTAAATAGTTCCGTGATTCAACGTACCTTGTACAACATCGAGTACGTATGTACGATACTCATTTATCGGTCCCGAGTGCGATATTCTATTGAAAAATTAACTAAAATACTGGGATATCTACAACTACGGACTGATCAAATATAATTGTTTAGTGTAGAGAGTTGTAGGAATTGGCAAAAAGTGTTTAGGCATGTCAATAAGTCAATAATCGGGAATGGGATTTGAAAAAAACCCTAGTGAATACCAAAACGTGAGTAAGGATGGTATGGAATAGCTACTCACTACTTTATTACGTATCAAAGAAACTATTAGATAGCATTGCACCACGCACAGCTCCGGATCTGATATTGTATCTAAATTTGTATAGTTCTTGTAAGTGGGCAAGTTATTTTGGAACTTTTCTCCACCCCGCAAATACTAAGTTTTGTGTACTTACCTTTAAACCCTGTAGGATAAATTATAGGTTCCACAAGTAGTAGAATAAATTACAGTCGTAATCGGCATATTTTCATGTGTGGTCTCTAGTCAAAAATATACGGTTTAGATATAAGATTGCAACAAAATTTATTGTTATTCCGGTATTTTGTAATTGATGTAAAATATTATACAAGATTAAGTATTTCCTTGTTCTTTAATATACATTCCCTGTATTTCTGTAAGTCTTTATCTCTTAAAATCATTCTGCGAAATCTAGACAGCAATGGACGGTGTCTACGAATTGTAACTACATCGCAAAATATTTATGAAATTAAAAACTTGTTAAATTTCTATTCCTCAATTCAAATCAATTATTTATTATAATGCAATTATCGTTTTGTATATAGGTTTATATAATTATACTGGTGTTCTGAACCGAACAAACAACACATCTACTAAATCGCTGATTAAAATATTAATTTAGTGGCTCACAGATTACATCATTGTATTTAAATAGAACAAGATGATCAATCAGCCTTTTGTGCACGTCGTCCATGTTAGGGTTTAAGTGTAAAATTTAAAGTAGAGACTTATTAGCCCAAATATTATATCGAATACGTTTTTGACAAACGGGAGAAACAGGCTAAGTCGCGACTCTGAATCTGAATGCCGTTTCCTTCAGCATGTGAGCAAAAAAAATTGTTGCATAACCTAGGTTCGACTGAGCAAAGTCTAGGCTTCTAGGCTTTTCCTAGGTATATATGCAGAGTGACCCCACATCTCTACGCAACGCCTAGGGATCAGGACGCTCTGAAAGGGATTGTTCGTCGACGATTCGATCTGCTCGTCGTTCATTACGGTCAAGTGGAAGGAGCTGGTACTGGAGAGCTCCCGCCCAGAGGTGAGAACAGTGGGTGGTACTCCATGTGGGGCCGAATTTGCGGTTTATAGAGTTTGAAACGGTGGCCCGGAATGATGTATCGTCTTGCCTTGCTGAGCACACGAAGCTTTTTGGTGGCTAATTTATCTGTATCTGTTTCATGACCATTTGTCAATCTAATGGGTAAGTAGGTGATCCAGCGCCTGTCGTCAACTTTTTGGGCCAAAGGCAAGCTGGTTTCCTTGCGATGTTTTCTTTTATGAGAGTCGAGGATTGGTAATAAAAATGCACTTTTTTGGGAGGGGGTTTAATTGAAGCAATGAAACAATTTCGCAAATTAATTTAAGAGGAGTTAACTTATATACACAAACTTTGAATATATTAAAAATCTTTGGTAATTGCAAAGATGTTTAATATTTACAAATATTAAATTATATTAACATATTTGTTAATTACAACGTCATCATTATCTGTGTCTTACGCTAAGAACTCACGAAGCGGTTAGCACCCGCGCCCGCTGCGGTGGCGGTTTGTTGTTTTAATTCGTTTTAGTCGTGAAATGTGATTGAAATTTTGACATAAATATCTGTATTCTACAAAGGCTGCGGGCCCGGAACCGCGGCGGGCGCGGGTGGAAACCGCTTCGTGAGTTCTTACCGTCATACATTACACGGGTAATCATAACGTAGTATAAAAAATAATCGGAGACTTATCTACAATATACAATATTACTACTATATTTACATTATTCTCTTATAAGTAAAAACATGAAGATCTCCTTGCATTCACACTTTATAAAATATAATAATATTAATTATTTTTACAAGCATAACATCTGATGAACCTATCTTCCAAATAGTTGTGAGTACAGATAAGAACATTAGGCGTTTAATTTTTTTTATATTTTCATTTATATATATTTTTTTGTATTTCATTTTATTTAAAAAACTATATTTTTTAGTAATAAGCTAATTTGTACATATATTATGTCCAAAGAGCGGTGCTATGACCCTTTGGACGTCTCTTATAATTTATAATGGTAGTGAATCTGCTTTCCACAATATTTTAAATATTACAATTTCGGGCGGGCTGTCCGAATTGCCTGCCAAGGTCTCGATGTAGCGTGGGTATAGCCATATAAGCCAAAATATATACATAACTACAAGCGATAGATATAGTGCGCACTAATGCTAAGTGATAAAAATATTTCAAAACGATACAGTGATAAACAATAATTTCCTTAACTTTTCAAATATTGTGATCCGTGCGTGGCCTGTTATATATATACGTATATTTCAAGTCTGATTTAAGCGTATCTAGCTATTTATTTTTTTACTAAACTTTTTTAAACTTTTATATTTTTTTTCATTGCTTTTTTTGAAGTTTTTATATTTTTTTTATTAACACGTTTTTTTATTTTTTTTACATTTTCTTTCGATTATTATTATATTTCGTGCAACTAAGCACTAAGCTATCCTAATCTATTGAGTTAACGATAAAGCGTATCACTAAGGCGTTATTTGGAATTTGTAAAAATTTAGAAATTAGCCCAAAACTTATACCGGTTAATTTTGTGATATAAATGCATATAAACCTTATAATTTCGTTAGTAATACTTAAATAGTTCGATATAGAATAAAAAATTACGATTCAAAAGCATAAGTAGACATCTAATATTTTTGGAAGACCGATTCGAATGATCTATGTTGTTAAACAATGACATAACTGAACTTAACACAAAATTGAAATTATGAGTAAGAATCAACAAATACTCTTCTGAGGTATTTAGTCTAGAAATATCTAATATCTAATGCAAGCAATCTTCAATTATCCTTAAATATTCTATATATATAAACGATGCAAGGCAAAACTGTGATACCTAGATGTTCATATTATATTCGTCATCTAGCCGCTAATTTCGTACAACTAAATAACCTTATTTTTGTATTTTGTGTTTTTAATTTTTTTTTTAATTTTTTAATTTTTAATTTTTTATTATTTTTTATTATTATGAAGAATTATAAATTATACCTAGCAAGTTGTCCATTGATCTCTACTTGGTTTAAGGACTAGATATAAAATTTATTATTTCGGTTTATTGCGAATAAAAATTAATAAAGATTACGTGATCAAACATAAACTGCAGTCAAATATCTAAACATTTAAACGAATTTGAAATCTAATCTAGTCATAGCATACTTTTGATCCAATTGATAAATGCGACTTCAGTAATAAGAAAATAGGAACCTGTACTATTGTTGTAGAGATGATTGGACAAATTGAATCCAACAATATAATTAATTACAATATTCATGCCTAACAGATTTAGTCTTGAGCACGGAATATGCTTACGGGGTAATAAGAAAGCTTTACTCAGAACTTCGGAAGACGTCAGTGAAAAACTGGACTAATGAAGATCTACTTAAGATATGGAATAAACAATTACGAAGCCTATCCTTATACTAACAACAATGA